GTGTGGGTATTTACATGCCTCCTCCCCGCTCCTGTAGCATCTGAACGCTTCGTCTTCGAGTGCGTTTAACTTGCAGCATCCTCCCAGCACAGTTAGCCAGGACAGTCCATGCGTGGAGGAGTACAAGACACCGGGGTTAAAGCTCCAACAGGAACCTTGTGGCAGAGTCAGAAACCAAGTCTGGGTCACCCAAAGCATTGACTTTCTCTTTCACTATTAAACTTTCAGCTAATTGATTGACAGTAAGAAGGACCAAGCTCAGCATGCCAGAGCAGGGAGCCTTTAACAATTTGCATTACAGATTTATAAGGAAATACAATATTTCTGTCCTTTAAAAATCAAAGCAATACCAAAGCCATTGTGACAAATAAATTAACGAGGCCCTTTCAAAACCATCTGTGACCCATTCTCCGCTGTTTTGCCGATACCGTATGTGGCCTAATTGTTTTTTTCACAAAACAAAGGAAACGTTACAAAATAAATCCTGCCTTGTAGAGTAAGGATGTTAGTCCAGCAAAGCTGTCATCAGAGTGAGGACCGCCTCTCCCCAGCCTCCCTTTGCGACTCAGGGCGCACAGTTACAAGCTTTGATCCTTGTCTGAGAGCCTTGCATCTCTGCAGTTAGACTCCAGATAAAAATGACTCCAGCCCAATATTGCAACAAATGTTTAGATTAAAACCAAAAATCCCTACATCTGCTAGTTTGCTCTCAAACCCCTACTTTCTTTGAAGACAAATTCAGTCCCATTTCTTACTGGGGTCTGATGGGTGGCTCCTGGTTAATCTCTGTCTGTCTCCCTGGTAACAGCCAAAGGAGACGACACAGAGGTGGGCAGGGAGGGAGCCTCCAGCCGCGGTTCCGTTATCAGGGTCCATCAGCAGGTGACCTTCGCTCATATCCAGGAACAATAAATACAGCCCGTGGCTAAGGGAACAACCACGCAGCTTTCTTCAGAAGTCTCAAAGAGCATTAGCTGGGCTCCGGGTTTCGAGACGGAAGTTTTCCTAAACCTTTACGTCTTATATTTTATGCTGCCCTCTCAAAATGTATGCAGACACTGCAATTCTCATGACAGCTTGCAAAACTAATGATTTTTTTCATTTTAGACAGTCTTTACTCAAGCAACCTCTACACACATAGATCACCACTACCCCCGTCAGCTTTTGTGCAATTTGAATGTATAGCTGGTGTGGCAGCAGTAAATCAGTTTACTGTGTGCCCAAGAGCAAACTGTGTGTATATTTGCCTGACACTTTATTTCCACGCCATGTCAATGAGCAGCTGAGCGTTTGCAAAAAAGGAGAATCTATGGCAGAGCAACGCAGGTGCTGCAGCTCATGCTTCTGCCAAGGAGCCAACATCTGACTGACCTGAAGCACTCTCCAAGCAACAGCAATCTACTTTGCATGTTCATTTTTAATAACTGTGCTGCAAGGCTCCTGCTAAAAATTATAAATGATAATGACTTGCTGTCAAACCAAGTTTCAAGGTAGCATCTGCTCGTGAAGAACATCAAAGTAATTAAGCCAGAACAGAAGCACAGCCAAAGTCCTTCCCTTGCTTGAAAGCGGCTTGAGAGCGTAGCGAAAAGAAGTGTCAAACTGGCAAATTCCTTAGTAAATGATGAGACTGAAAAAGGCACCGGGTAAGGAATTTGACCTAGCTAAAGTCTTGAACCCGGTGATTGTCCAGGAAAGAGGAATCAGAAGCTCCCACAAATTACGCTCTTTCCTGACAGAAGACAGCTAGCAAAAATGACTGAATTATGGATAATGCTCTGGCTTCAGATCCAGACTTAAACCCAATGCAGCCATAGGTGCCAAGCAAAGGCCTTTGTGCACGTTTTGTTCTCAGAGCCAGTGACGATCCTTCAGCCCTCAAGTGAGCTTCGTCATTCCTGACAAACACGTAAAGCCTGGCTGAATGCCTCCTTCAGTGAAAACAGCCAGAAAACAAGAAGGAACAGAAGAAAAGCAGGTGGCTTGCCATTCCTGCAATGCCCTCGAATCCCCCAGGCTCCCTCCTGAAGCGCCGTGCCCGATGTGGCCGAGCAGCGGAGCGCAGCTCCGTCCTGACCCGCTGAACCCCTGACCCTCAGCCTCCAAAGATGCTGCTGCACTCACAGGGAGAAAAACTATTTTCTTTAGCACAAAACGATGACCCACTGAAAGCCAGCTCGCCAAAAGCAAAGCATCAAAAGATAGCTGGCCTCCTTTGAGAGGTACCTGAGGCTAAAAGCGGTACAGCTCTGCGGTGGCTCGTAAATGACCTACACCCTGCGACGCCCTGGTAGGAAACAGTGACTCAGAGATACACAATTATTTATTTCTGAGTCAGTTCCTATGGAGTCTAAGTTTGTCAGGAGACGTGTTAGCTCTTACGAGGTCCTCTTCATCTCACAGGCGCTCGTTATGCCTGTCTCTGTCCTGTCCATCAGCGGTGGCCCAGAAGGAGCCCTCAAAGCTGGACCTGCTGTGCCACAAGCCAGCACGCCTGGCCTTGGGTCCAGCCAGAGCTCGGCCCCGCGCAGGGCTGGCACAGAGTGGTCTGTGAGGCAGAGCAAGCCCCTCGGCAGCACGGCGGGGCCATTCTTGCAGAGCGGCACCAGCACGGCTAGCGACTCGGTAACCCCTCTTTATCTGGAGAAACGGAATTGGCTCAGCTTTTAGGATGAATCAAGTTTTTTTGTGAGACAGTCACAGAGAAAAACATCTAAATAACTGAGAGACCAAATACTCTTTCTTCATATATATTTTACATCAGTCAGAAATGTGCATGTAATACCATACCCCACATGCAAGAGAAAGGCTTCCTTCACCAGAGATCTTGCCACCTGCTTTCAGATAACAACCAGATGAGAAAAGTAAGAAAAGTACCATGGAAGAATACTGCTGGGGCCAGAGAGAAATTTGATTAATTTCGTAAAGTTATGGGGTGACTTGGTAAAGACATCAGCAACGTGAATGGGTGCAGAAGCCTGCTGGGTAGGGGGAACACTCATACATGGGGTCCAGTCTCACTCCAGTTGCTGAATGCCGACGTGACGCTCGGGGTGGGAGACACCAGGGTGTCTGCGAGATCCCTGGAGCCTGTGTGAGCTCAGCTCCGCGCACGGGGCAGCTGCGTTGCTTTGTTGCAAAACAGTACCAGGGGCAGCTAGGCGGAACTGTGGCCCGCAGGGATGCCTGCAAAGATTTAGCAAGAACAAGACTTTTACTGAATTTTAGTAAGGCCCTTCATCTTCGTAAGGAATACATGGAGCACTGGCAAAGGGATGCTACCGTCAGGCCTAAAACCGCTTGGTTAGGTATTCAGTTCATCTGCTTTGAAGTAACAGATACAGAGAAACTGCATTTATTGGAAAAAAACACAGAGCTGGCAAGAAAACATGAAAAGAAAAACTGACAATTCTTTTAAATATGTCTTTAGTTCCTGGAACGTTGCTTGCTGTCAGCTTTTTCTGACTTACTTCAGAAAGAAGACAGCTAAGGAGGAATCAGTGGAGGTTTGTCACTGATTTCAAAGATGCTAGGATTAATAATCCAACATTTATGTAAAGATGTGTAAATGATATGTAGCACATTGTCTAAATGTGCTGCCTCTAGTTATACGCACAAAAAGCTGCTGTTTCTGAGAAATGCGTTTCGATCAAGCACCAGTAACACTAGCTGCTACACTATTATGGACATACTTATTTTAGTCTAATAATCAAGCCAGATATTTTATAGTAGATCCACCTATGTATTATTAATGTCTAAACATTTCTGCTAATAAATAATGTAATAAGAAATTGAAATAAAAGTGAACACCCAAAGCTAACTGGAAAAATGTTTTCATCAAAGTAAAAATTTCCACCAAATGTTTTGTTTAGATCTTCAACTCTTTTAACTAATAATCTGACTTTTCTGTTCATAATAGGTAAGTTACATGTTTCTCAGATCCTCTGTCACCTTAACTGATTCTCCAACTTCTCTGTAGCAAAGAGCTGTTTATCAGTACTATACTAAGAAGAGTAATGAAGTACTCAGTAATTCTATTAACTTTTAACTTAAGAAATTTAATACTGTGCTACAAACAGAAAAATAGTACATATCTGGTATTATTTCTTCCATACAGCTTCATGTAGTTATAATTTATTAATAAATAAGTGAAATGCTGTATTATTTTGAGCAATTTTAAGTGTAGCCAGGTTCATTTATGTTTCTCCGTTTGTGTAACCGCCTTTTCACTCTGAATAAACACTGATAATCCTACAATATGAAATCCACCACTGAACTTGAATAAATGAAAGATGCGAGTTCTGTAGCTGTCTGACAGGCACATACTCCGATCAGTAAAACAATTCTGTATTTTGGAGTGTCTATTAAAATTAATCGAAGTTGGGACCTCTAGCATGCCACAGGACAGGGATCCAAATTTCCAGACAAAATACTTGGTTAATAGCACGAGGCTGTCTCTTTTATAGCACTTGACCAAAGAAAGTACCTCTTCTACACTGTAAAACAGTGGAAGAGACACAGGCAATTAACACAAGCAAAACATTTTCACTTGATAAGTCAATCTGGGCTGTTTCTTCTGCCCCGTCAGCAGTGTCTGAAAACAAAGGAGACACAGCAGCCCCAGGAGACAGCTTGTCTGCCCAACAATTTTTCTGGGGGGATCGCTTAATTTGTTTTAGAAAGCACATAGCAAACTTTCCAGGTGTCAAAATTTAATATGCCACATAGCACGCTGCAGCAACCGACACTGTGGGACACGTGAAAGGCTATTCCAGATTGGCGTCTTTAGGGAACATACTTCTATACTTCGTCTCCACCTCCCTGGTTATCACAGCAATCCCTTGAACAGGCAATAAGACTCGGTCTTGTCTCAAGTGATTTGATAAGCAGTTGATAACCAATGGTTCATTAAGCTCTTGGGGTATATAAGCCACAAGGCTTTCAGTGTGCCCCTGTGCTCGAGGGGTTTGACAGCTCCCTGCTCAGCAGCCCATGAGGCACTGGAAGATGATCCTGACTGCAAAAATACTTGTTTTTGCGCTGAACTGTGTCCTAAGAGTGGCAACAGGCTTTGACATTGGATTATCTACGAAATGTGTAGTGATCCCCAAGGAGATGGACATGTGCCACAAGATCGGGTACAGCGAAATGAGGCTTCCCAACCTGATGGGACACACGAGCATGGCAGAGGTCATCCTGAAATCCGCCGCCTGGCAGCACCTTGCCCACACGGGCTGTCACCCTCACCTGAGGACATTCCTGTGCTCCCTGTTTGCACCCATCTGTTTAGATACGTAAGTACCACAGCACAGCACAAAACTCCAGCCTTTATTTGCCTGAAATGCACATTTATTGTAATCTAAAGGCAACCGTGTCCACTTCTTCTGAAATTATTCTGTTGACTTTTTTATACTCATTGGAAAGAAAAGTACTGAAAACCTGTTCCACTTCAACTTTAGTTTGCCTTGAGAAAAGGAACGCTGTTGTCAAAGGGTATCATGTTTTCATTTTGTTACAGCTGAAATTTTATTCTTGTTAATTTAGGGTTGAAGCATCTGTTGTGAATAGAATCAGGCCCGTGCTCTAGCTTTTCTCAGATTTTAATAAAAGCATTTAAAAAACTGTGACTTAATGCTGTAAGCACAGTCCAGCCCACATACAGACCACTTGCACAGTTCGCAGAGCTGCCGCTTATAGAATTATATCATTATCGGTGGGTCTGAAGTATCAGTGAAGACGATGTGCTTTGCACAGAAAGCGCTGTTGCAATAGTTTCTGTTATCACGGAGTGAGTTGCACTGATTCAGCCTGGTGATCCCTCCGGTGACAGGTTCATCCATCCTTGTCGGAGCATGTGTGTCGCCGTCCGTGACAGCTGCGGCCCCGTGCTCACCTGCCACGGGCACCCCTGGCCTGACAGTCTGGACTGCGACCGATTCCCTGCGGACGAGGACATGTGCCTGGCATCTCTTACGAAGGAATATAAATACCTGCACAAAGGTAGCTGGAAGATGGCAGCGGGGAGGGTGGCTGTACTCCGTGTTCTTGGGAATCAAGGGGATAAATGGGAGACCGTTCCCAGACAGCCTGTGGTTTTGTAAACAGAGTTGTGAGGATCTGTACTGCTCCACCCTGTTTGTCCAGAGGGCAGGAGGAAGTGCTAGTACTTGCAGTGTAAGCCGCAGCAGACCTCAGACGGTGTAAATCAGCATCGCCGCGATAAAATAAAGTGTAGACAGTCTATGCTTAGACAGAGGAGGATGGCAATTATCACCCTGCACACAGCAATGGGCAGTATCACACCCACAACAGCACACTGTGTGTGATTTATTTGGAGGTTTTTTTATAGACTTATTAATGGCCCTTATCACGGATAAATGGCACACCCAAATTCACATAGTCACATCCCTAGCGCAGCTGAATGCATGATCACTGATAGAACCATCCGCTTGAACCCTTCCCCACCCACCTTAGCCACAGCAAAAACAATGCCGTACTGAACGGGCACAGAAAATGAAACCCCTTTTCATCCCTAGGCGTGTTTTCAGAGGAGTGTGTAGACTTTTACGTTATCACTGACCAGCTGTGTATTGTCTCTGTCATCCCTCTGGTTAAACAGTGGGCTCTCAGCTTTGACAGCAGAAAATTAATACAAAAGATTCTGAAAGATATGATAATGATGAAACTTTGTCATTTCTTGCCAGTCTTACCAAAGCCTGCCTGCCAGGCCTGCCCAGCAGTGGAGGAATTCTTTACGCACAAAAGAGTTCTTGAAGTTTTCTGTGACAATAACTTTGGTAAGTCCTTGCTAATATGGCTGCTATTAAAGACACTAACAGCTCTCCTTCTAAAATGCTTTAAAATTAGGATTAAAATAACTGACAATTTCTGCTGAGATTTCAAAGTCTTAATCCTAAGAGTCTGGCTGCTGACTTAACTTCAGGTTGTTTATCAGAATATGTTCTTTCTAATCAAAATATAAGGAGGATTTACTTTGCATTAAAGATTTATTAATGATCTAGTTTACAACCAAATAGCTCTTCTGTTCTTGTCTAATTGGCTACATTGTAGTACAACATGCTTCATGGAAAATACTTCTGGTAAAAGCAGCCAAATAAGCAGGTTTGCCTTTTACTAGTGGTTAAGCCCAAAGTAAAGCTTTGCTTGCTTTACCAGTGAACAGCGTGTCCTTGTTACTTGTGTGCATGGGTTTTCTGTGATACGTAGCTTTCTGAAAAGGCAACTCAGAAAATAAAATCAGTAAAAGAATTTTTGCCTCGTGTTGTCTTACTGGAGCGACAGGGAATACTTTGGAGTTTGTCCTAGAAACTTCCTGCAGAGCCCTCTGAAGTCAGCGCAGAGACGCTCAGCGACTGTGGCTGGCTTTAGATCAGGTGGTATAGCGAGATTTCATGCTAAAAAGTGTTGGTGGAGTCAAGTGGGGCAGGAAGATGCCTATAATGGAAAGGGAATACCTAACAGGATGATATCAGCAAGCATGACTAGCTATTTTTCCTGAAGGGTTCCTGACATGGACAAAGTGAATTTCAGGAGAATTGTTTGGGCAAGGTTGGCAGCCTCTTGATACAAGAACACCAACAGCTTACAATATCTAATTATCCACAAAGTCTAACACGCATGGTGATTGTAAAAATAGATTACTCACCTTTGTGAAAAAAAAACCCAAAACTTTACTGTTCCATGAAAAAATGCTCTACACATAACCTTTATTTTTAAAAAATATCTTAATGTATACTGCTGCTGGAGAAGGCCTTGCCGTACTCTGTCAGCATAAATTATGGTAGTATTTTTAAGGAATCGTCCTGCTTTCATTGGTAGTGTTTTCTTCTGCATTTGAGTAAACAGAGTGACTTACACGTTTCCTTTTTTTTCCTCAGCAGTGAAAGTAAAGCTGTCCAAAAAGAGAACAGGGTTTGGTGACCAAGAGTATAACATCGAATGCCAAGTGGAATTTATTACCCAGGGCTCACTGTTGCCCTACGAAACTCAGAGCATGATACAACAGTGGCTGCTCATCAATGAAAACTGTATGCGGAGGATGACTCCGACCCATCGTCCCATGGTGTATCTCCTCGTGGGGAATATTGAAGATGGCACCATTTTAGTAAACCAGGTTTATCGTTGGCAGAGGAGGGACTCCCAGCTGACTTTGGCCACTCAGAAGTGGAGATACCATAAATGCTTGTAAATATTTATCGTATTATTTGTAAAAAGATGATTATACTTCTCATGCCAAGCCTATCTTGTAAATAGGAATGTATTATAAGTTGAATGTAAAGTCTAATTTCATTTTAAATTGTATTATAAGTTGAACTTAAAGCCCAGTGTTGTCAAGCCTGTTTTCTGTAGCGTCACAGCTCTTCACATCAAGTTTGAACTTGGCCAACTGTGTATAAATGTTTCTTTGAGTTGCAAAAAAATTTTCCAATGTGTGCAAAACCTGGCATAAACCAGTCGTAACCTAGCTGACTACCTTTAGTGTACCTTTCCATACCACCCACTCTGCCGTTTTCTCCAGTTACCTAAACTTTCCCTTGCTTAATGTTCCATTAATCCACCTCATTTCCTCCCATTAAGTATTTTAACAGTGGGCAGCCCTGTGCTGCGCTTCTGCTGGAATCCAGGGGGAATAAATGGGGATAAGTAACCGCAGGCATGAGACAGCTGGCCCCAGCCACAACTGGATTTGGTTACTGGGCGCCGTTTTGCAGTCGCGGCGCTGACAGGCTCTTTAGCACAGGCTAAACGCAGTTCTGGAAACTTCTCCTTCTTGTGTGACCATCTGCGATGTAACGCGGTTCGGCTGGAGTCTGCGCTGGGCCCTCCCTGCCGACCGCTCCCTGTTTATTCTCAGACACATTAAAAAAGCCAGTACAGACCGTTTGCCGGGTGTCCAGGCGGACCACAGGGGACTAATGGGGCGACGATGTGCAAGAAATGTGAAATACTCGAGCGGCCACATGACAGGCATCCTCACCACCAGTGCCACGCGCTGACAGGAAAGGCCACACCGACATGGACAGAACTCTAGTTTTATAAACCGGCCCAGGAAGGGGTGACTGTGAGCGCACAAACTGGAAGCTATCTCAGTAACACGGTGTCTGCCACGGCCCTATCTTCGTGACAAACGCGGGGACACTGTACGGTCAGCAGCCTCCCGGCGGTTCCCTCCGCCGCCACCCGGCTTC